TTAAGAAGCTAACTCATTATGCACTGAGTTAATGAGTTCAATTATTAAGTTACTTGTTCAACACGTATGAAGTCATACCTATGTTGTAGAGATTAGATTCTTCTCTTTTTGAGCCTTGGCTCACGTGGTTGACTTCATAATAATCGAGTGGCATGGATGTTAATAAAATCTATACCCTACTTACTTCGTCCCATACAAGGACGAGACGGCAGTTCAATGCTTCCAGATTTCCCATGGTGGTCTAACTTTGGTTGACTCATGAAATCAACTATTAAATTTCTACAATCTTCACAAAAAACCCTTCTGATAAAACATATTTGATTGTGAATGAAAATTTCATATTTCAGTTTATCATAAAGTTTTCATAATTATGTGATCAGTGTTACAAATCAATAATCAGAAATAGGTCAATAGCTTAAGAAATATAAATACTGAAATAACAGTCATAGCAACTATGAGATTATTGAATAAGAAGTGTTCAGATAATTGGACAATGAAGTGCATAAATTAATAATTCATTAAAAAATATCAATAATATTATTTATTTTTATTTATTTTAACACATAGATATTGATACAAAGAGGCACCAGATACATATGCGCCACACAAATTTCATTTGATTTGTGTGAGGGCTGTGATACTGCCTGGGTGCCCAGACCGAAGCAGGTGGTTTGCTCGGGGGGCCACACCCGGAGCCTTCGACATGTAGGTCTGATCCACAGGGCAGTGGAGCAACGTAGGGAGATGCAGTCCTATGGTAGCCGGTGACTAACGATTGGTTCATACGCCATTTGTTCCCTCAGGGTACTGGAGCCCATGTGCACCACAAGTTTGGAATGAGGGTTTTCCAACTCCCCTAGGTGGACTCTCTATGTCAACCAACCCGGTTAAAGCATCGGACATTCGCTTTTCGTCCTTTAAATTTCGTAAACAACACCCCCTCCATGAGAAGGAAGTGAATAGGACTTCCCTGGCAGAGGCTATATACGCACGGCCATGTGAGAGCATTTCGAGAGGGAGAGCGGACTCTCCTCACTCTCGGCTGTACCAGGGCATTTTGGGGGTATGAATGAACATCAATTACGAGAAATATATAGAATGTAAAAAAATTCCAGATATTAGTACAATTTAATATTAGAGATCCATTGTTGAATTTCTTTTACTTTTTTAATTATATAGTTTATGAAATATTATTATAAGAATATTAATTTATTTGATGATTATCGTTAGTTAGTAAAATACATTAGAGAGCTTTAAGAAACCAAAGTTATCATGAATAATAGAATTAACATCTTTATTTATTTTAACAGTATATTATTGTTGTGATGAGCGGTATCCAAAATCTGATACTGATACAGGCTGTCCAGTGCTTCCAGATTTTCCATGGTGATTTAGCTTTAATTAATTCATGAACTCAACTATTAAATCTATTTGTTATGAGATATTATCATAAATAATTGTAAATTAAAATTTATTTCATAAGTGAATTAGATGTTTTTATTATGAATAAATTATTTACTCGAAATGTACACAACACATTATTCAATTTATCTGAGATAGAAAATGCTCCGTAGGTTTTGTCTGACAGATAATATATAGTCACACATTGTTAACTGGACACTTAAGTACATAATGAATAGTTTGTCCCGTGAGGGGTCAAATAATGATCAATAGTGCAGAAAGAACAAGTGGATTTGTTGATTTAACATTTCATATTCAAATGACAAGTATAGATTGTGGAAAAATCTATACCTTTCAGTCTAGATTATTATCAAGGTATAATAATTAATAATTCTATGTATTAATGAGCGATACAATTTTAAAACACTAAACACTTGTAACCATAAGGTGAATCTTCACTCATAATTAAGAAAAACTTAACTTTTATTACTCTAGTCAAACCGAATTCTATTGCGATGTTAAAATTCATTTTAACATTCTATTCTGGGTAATATTGATGAAGTAATTAATTTTTATCATAATTTTTTAAATACTCTAGGCTTAAATGAGCTTACCATTTTCTAGGAATAAATAGTATAACGAAATGTTGATGAAAAAGTGGTGATTGAATTCAACGCTTTCAGGTGTCCTTGAAAATAACTCAAAAAGTGTTATAACTTGTGGCCTGTGTGCCCTGTTAATGTATAACGTAACGATACCGCCAATTAGAGGGCAGTGAATTATCGACCGAACCAATGCGCATAAAACACGTACGAGCAGTCTAGGGTACTTATTGGTCTTGCTTCCTGCCTAGCCCAGCCAGTTAAGTCCAGAACACCAATCTCAGCCTCTGCGATATGAATCATTTATTTCAAACATACGAGGTTTACATACCAATCAAACAGATCATATCGTACCATAAAATAGGAAACAACATTTGTACAAATGTGGCTGTGAATGTGGGAGATAGTAATTGATAGACTGGGTATAACTCAAGAATAGTAAATCGTAAAATAATAGTTCATAAGTCAAAATGAACCTCATAATAAGAAGGACATTAATATGAATAGTTTAGTTATCTAACAATTATACGATAAAAATATACGCATAGTATTGGTCCATAAATGGATCTCAAAAGTTACCACTCATTATTCTTATCGGGACGTAACAAAATGTTTGCAAGATATTCTGTGACTTAGAGGATGAAAACTAATATGTTATATTGTGTAATGTCTGTTTCATAAATTCACTGAATAAAGTATATAAGCATAATCTAAAAGGTTCCTTTTGTGAATTTTAGGTAAATAAAAGTTTTATTATTCATTAAATATATTTGCAGTATATTATTCAGTGTTATAGTAAAAGAAGTAGTATTGTTTACACAGACTAGTGAATAAAATTTAGGTAAAATAATATGAAAGAAGCTTTACCTTTTAAAGCCTCATTGCTACTCAAACAGACTATTTACCTCCGATAGTTCTCAAGGATAAAGGAGGGTAACTAACTGATATCTTTCACGAAGATATGAGGAACTTACTGTTTTATCATTATTCTAGTATGCATAAAATTGTCATACTTAGAGAGGACCTGAGTGATTTATGTAATAGTTAAGTCACATCTTATATGGTCGCTTTAGCCATATTTCACAGATTGAGCAAAACTCACGAAGTGTTGAGTTGCAATGAGGTGTTCGGTTTTGATCCAGGTCCTTATCCTCCACAAAATGCTTAGAAGTTGTCTCACGTATCTCAAACAAAAATTGTTATGATCTTTCAGAAAATTATTTCTTTGGTTCGTTGGCAGAACTTCCCTCTGGGATTGTATGTTAAACAATGATAGTTTAAAAATAGTCAATATGCTTGTAATATGAAAATCGGTTTTATTGGTTGTATGTTTGTTGGTTCACCATAACTCTCTAGATGGGCGCTCAGGGATTATAAATCCCAGTGGCTTGTCAGATAACACTAACGGAAGAAGCTATTGGCCATCATGCCAAAGTTTTCTTTCCATGTTCTTCATGAATAATAAGATTCATGTTCTAACAGTAAAAAAAGGTTAGTTTTCTTTTTATACAAACTTCATGACAGAATATATGCTATTCGAGCCTATTATTCATTTATTTAGTGGTTAGATTACCTGTCCGATTCTTATTCTGTATAATTTTGTGTACCTTATATGCTTCCATACTATCATACAAATAAAAATAACAATAAGACATACAACATTGAACTTAGTACAAAATATTATTTCAATAAACCAGAGATAAGAGTAAGTCAATAGATTTCCTAGGCCTACTAAACTGCTTATGATAGATCTTTTAGTATCACAAATTTTGTCATTATTACATCCCTTCAACCGAAATTATTTTACATAATTAAAATCTAGTATGCTTAAACTGTGAAAAAAAATTTTTTTCTTTACTTGTAACTAACTGACAAAAATAATTACAAATAAAGTAAGTTTAATTCAAGATTTGACATAGAAATATAGGAATTCACCTTGTTCACTTCAGTTAGTCTTATAACACACAGCAGGTATTTATTTAATGATAATCTACGTAAAACATTCCATTTTTAGAACATACAAATTTATGAAATAATATTGATTGAAGTCTATTACAGAAATGAAGCAAACTCCTTTTTTTTAAAATGGTTATTCACTGATTATAAATGTTCTTATTTGGTTAAATATAATCTTTCATAGCTCTAATCCAGAATACAACAAACAATTTCTGTTACGTTCATAACTTGTTCACTTCTTGATGAATGGATCCGTTTATCAGGAAGAATTTGATGATTAAGAGGTTACTTAACTACTTACTTAATGTATAAACGGAGTTGAAATGCTTAAATACTTTAACTGTTATCATAACGAACTCCAACGTGACTACAAAACTATAGTCCATATCGCCAACGATATTACAGCTATATTCTTGAATGCTTAGAACGTAGTTTGAATCGGAGATTTAGCCCCTTTTTGAAACTGTTTATCACTCTTATGGAGTCCATTAGTTAAAAAAAGGCTTAACCAGAAATCCAGTGAAATTCATCCCAAAAGTATTCATTACATTGAAAAAGTAAATGTTGAAAACCAAATATTATAATATTTAAAAATATTATTGTTGTGAAACACTTAAGACAATAGGTTTATCCTATCGGATCTGTCCATAATAGTGTACAATCTGGATAAGTTTTCAAACTATTTGATATGTCAGAAACTGTTGATCTACCATTCACTAGATATTGTGAAATAAGGATTGTGAGATTAAAGCTTATAGTCAGATTCATTGGGGTTTACAATCGATTTAAATCAAGAAGAAATTTAACTAATTATTAATCAACAAAGAAAATTTTTTTCCAAGGATATCGCTAAACGTTCAATGGTACACAAAAAAACAGAACTTCTAAGCTATAACTATTAAAATAACTTCTTTCTAGTAAATTATAATACTGGTAAGATAAGGATAGATTGAAAAAATAAAAACATCTGTCAGAATTGTTTAAAAATAAATCTACCATCCGTTAGTATTTACAGAGATTGTTTACAGGCTGAAGGCAACTTTATGTGAAAGGATTTATACTACTATCTATATTAGCAAGTAGTTGAAAATTATGTGGTGAAGTTTCTTGAAATTTGATATTTTCTGTCACAAGTTTAGACCATAAAACAGGATCAGACTGTAGAGTGTCAACTGTATCTAATAATTCGACAGTATAATGATCATTTGATAATATTTGACCAGTAGGTTTGTAGAACAAATCCAATTTTGGTGCATCATATTTCGCACCACTTTTTATATCATAATCGCTTAGCATTAATTCTGATAGTAGCTCACTTGCAGGCTCGGCATTCACACTTAAAAATATTGAAATCTTCGGTAACCATAATAACGTTTTATGACTGAGAGAATAAAGTAAACAGAAAATAGTATCTCTTCGAAAACTCTTTAAATATGATCAATATAGCAATGAAAAGAAAACAGATACATCATAGAATTTAAAGTAAAAGTAAGCACTGATTGTTGTAAGCTTACCTAAAACTCTTTAATTACTAATATCGTCTCACAAATAAGCAAAGGTCCACAGTGACCGATAATTAGGAACTGCTTTATTACTTGGGAAGAGCCATTCATCTGGGAATCAGTCTCTGCTTACCGACCGAATGTTGCTAGCTATATGTTATTGCTAATGTGATCACAAGATTACCCAAATTTTGTTAACAATGTTAAACTCTTCGATAATTTGATGCGATTGCAGAATAACAAGTAAGAACTTTCGTCTAAATTTGGACGAATAGTTTCACAGTATTTGGGCGCCGAGTTAATGTGAGACATTACAGAGGAAGAATGTATTTGTAAAATCTCAGCGAAAGAATTTGAAGTAAATCCAACGTTTCGCTTGGCAATCTGGTCCAAGCTTTTTCAAGGAAGATATCTTCCTTCAAATTCTTTCGCTGAGATTTTACAAATACATTCTTCCTCTTTGATGTTAAACTCTTTATAGAAACGATAACCACAAGTACCTTTCCCATCATAAGATTTTGTTCATGACTTTTGCCGTCTCCTAACCGGTTGCCGCTGATTTTAGTTTGTTAAATTTCTGCATATTTGAAGGTTATGTTATTGTTACTATATATATATGGAGTTGTATGTTGTTTTGTGTGCTAGTTGCTATTATCGATTTATACAATAAAACCAGTCGTATTAAAGTGACTCGATCATTCCTAATCCTGAAGGTATTGGAGACCCGTACCGGACCTCAAACATCGAGATTTGACGGTTATAAGGATAAAAAACCAAGCTCCCAATTTAATCCAAACTTGGTGTTGTCTAACAAACAGTAAGTGATATATCGAAAGCCTACTATTTCCATGAGGTAAACTAAAACGTTCGCAAAATCTGTTTCAGTACGGTAGAAAGCACTGGAAAAATTCTAAATGATATATTTTGATCAAAACATTTTTTATGAACCGCTTTAGTTCAACATAATGACTACTCAGTGTAATATTTTGTCTTGTATAACAGTGATTTACCTCAGTGAGATAGTTATGAAAGATACAATATTAACTGAATTGCATTAATGTGAACTGTGTTCAGTATGATATACAGTATACGATTTCGTCATAATTTTGGGTGTTTTTCATATATGTGACTTTTTTCTAATCAATGATCAAATGGATGTACAGATTAATATATAAATGAGTATAATTCCGACTGCGATCGCCGTGTCTTCAGAGCTAATCAATTTCTACTTGTACCAATATTTTGTGTTCTTACTTCGCGTCGTGGGGATTGTAGTGGTTCCTTGTTTTGCACGTATAAATAAGGGATGTGGTCATTACTAATACAGTGCCACTAACCTACTTAGAGTCCAATTATTCTATCTAACTATCTCAGTCAATTTGTAATATACTAACATTTCCCATAAAATCTCCACAACTTCAAATATTTAAGTATTCATTTTTAAAAAAGAATCAAAAGTATGGGTAAACATAGATATATCTTTACTAAGGTCTAACTAGCTAGCGATTAATTTTTTGGAAACTCACCGAATAATGTTAACCAAACCTTCAGTGTATGTATTCAATGGAACCAACTGCTCAAAATGCAATGGACTTTCATGGATATTTATACAATTTAAACAATTAAACTTGCAAATAACCGACCTAAAAATTGTAATTTCAATAAATACAGATATGAGTTAAATCTTACAGAAAAAATATAAATTATCTTATATCAGGAAATACTTTGGTCAATGGTTTTGCTTTGCTGCATATAGTGGTTATTTCACCGAACTTAACTTCATATTTATTAGTGTTCTAACACTAGTTGGCAAGTAGATAGGTAATGATGAATAAATTTAGCTTCATTTGTTTGTAACGTCTAATATAACTTCGTGCCAAATAACAGATGATCAAAACAAAATCAGATTAATGGATAGTAGAATATACCAGTAAAAATATTCGCTGCAATTTAATGTAGTCGAAAAACGAAAAATACTTTAACACATCTCACAATATACCCAACGAAAGACAGGCTAAATATACATATCTCCAAGCTTATCGTCTAGTAATATCACCGCTGGGAAACCCAAAATGACTCACATAACAGTATATATACATATCTCCGTTTTTGAACCACTTTGTGTAATCCAACATAATATGTAAGTATCAACTCATTATTGCTAACAGTCAATGGTAGGCAATAACCTACTCATATAAGGTGGTCCGCCATATATAACCTAACCCCATGGTAGTGAGTACTTAAAAGTACTACGATCCTTAATGTATTAATTTAAAAACAGTTCAATGAAGCCTTATGATTAAGAAACTTGGTACAATCATGGCTTGAAAGCATGCCGTAACTGACCCGGTGGCAAAAGTATAGTACAGGGATGAGGCATAAGGATTGAGAACGTGAACCTACGATCTTAGCGCGAAATTCAAACATCACATATAACGAGCAGTAGAAATATATTTTCCCAGTGCTTATGAAGTTTAAAATGGTGAAAAAATCGTTTCTTTCTACCGTGAGGGAAAAAATGGATAATACTAAACGTATCGGATGCCCATTTTTTCCTCTGTAACTTGTATATAGGGGGCAAATAGGTACTATCCATAAATCCCAACCCAAAAGTCTTAATCTTGAAACAAACCTTAATTTGTTGGCATTATAGTTCATGAGCGAGCTAATCAGACAGTGCCTCTTGAATTTTTTGATGAAATCCATTCATCAATATGGCTACAGTGGATTTTTACAATATAGCTGATATTAAATAGTTAAGTAAACCACAACCATAGTCCTCTTGTCTTAACACTAAATCTCCAAACCTAATAAGAAACAATGTAGGGCTTTCAAGAAATCTATTTGTTTTTTTGGCTCGAAAAGACTGATAATTTATATTCATTTGGATGGATTTATAAGTTGTTGTTCTTTTATTCACAGACAGTAACCTTATAGTGAACGAGATCACAAGTGGGGACAATCGAATGTATGAGAATACAAAATTACAGAACATAATGAAATCTGAGAACCAAACAGTAAATACTGAACTGGCAAAATGTCAATCAATTATCTCAAACGTGACTGTTCCTTTTGCAAATACCAGAGTCAATCGTTTCAGACTTCATTGTTCTTTCGTTTCCACAACAATCATTCTTTTTTTTCGTTCTCTTTTCTTTGAACTTCTTAACCTTCTTCCTCTAGTCATTTCACTTTTGATTAATGATACATACTACTTATATCTGTCGACATCAGTAGCTCACACTACAACCTGTGAAGGACTTTGATTAATTCACTAATTATGTAAAATATGTTTACATATTGTACGATGATTATTTTCTCTTCCAAAATCTATTCATTTACAAGAGTTGTTTTGCTGATTGGTTAAAAACTGGTCGAAAAATTTTCGCAGTTAATTTAAGCTCATCCCTATACTATACTCTTAGCAATTTACAATTCAAATTTCATGTAAGATTATTGCCTTTAAAAACTGTCATTTCAAAGGTACTAGATAGTCATTAAAAAAAGCTACTGACAACCGTAAGCAAATAATAATTGTATATTTACATATTATTTCTTTTGTTAAGATTAAGTTATATTTATCACGAAAGTTAACAAACCCTCTATCTGATTTTGCTATTCTTTCAATACTTAATTCTTTTAGAGTTCCATCTTCAAGACTATTAAATAAGAGAAAAACAGGAAAATATATAGAAAGGTTAAATTTTCCTGAATAAAATTTACATTTCTAAAGAATAACATAATTACTTCGTTTTAACACTGTAACAATACTTCAGTGGGTTAAAAGTTCACTGTATCACCTCATAATGTTATTTATTATTATTTTTTCTTATTTGAACACATAAATATTGGTACAAAGGAGCACCGAATACATGTGCTCCACAAAAGTCACTTGGTTTGTGTGTGGGCTGGGTTACTGCCCTGGTGCACCGACCGAATTAGGTGGTTTACTTAAGGGGCCACTTCCCGGGCTTTTGTCTAATCCATAAGGTGGTGGAGCAACTTTAGGAGATGCAATCCCATGGTATCTGGTGACCAACAATAGGTTCATACGCCATTTTGTTTTTTTTAGGACCCGTGAGTGGGTCCTCCATATCCACCAACTCGGTTAAAGTGCCGGACATTCGCTTTTCGTCCTCTCAATTTCGTAAACAACGACCCCGGCGCGAGAAGGCAATGAGTAGGACTTCCCTGACAGTGGCTGTATACGCGTGACCGTGTGAGAGAATTTCAAGATGGAGAGCTAACTCTCGCCACCCTCGACCGTATCAGGGCATAATTTTAACTAAAATATATCAACAAATGAGCAATTTCAGACGAATTCAAAGCTAACCAATAGTAAAATAAATATAATTGGATTTAGAATTGAAATTATAGTTGACAAATAGTTAATGAGTAATTTTGATTAGTTGTGGAGCATTAAAAGAATCAGAATCAAAGCTATACAATCATGGAACATGAAATTAAAAATTTCATACAGTGTTATTTATTCATAATTAGATCTGTAAATATGAAATTAAAATTACACTTAGGTCGAATGAATCTAGTTGACAGATTTTTAGAATTCTTAGGTGACTACAAAATGTTATTAACTAATAAAACTGATTCAAGAACTTTGAGAGTTTTTTTATAGAAAAGCCAACATGTTATTCAATGAATGTATTGAACAGAAATTGTGAATTTATTTAAGCAAACTTTTTATACGTTTCTGCTTGGTCTAAAACTATGCTTATCAATAGTTAGCATCACTAAAACTTATTCAAATAACTGGTGAAGTTATACTCAGTTTAGAAGCGGAAATCGCTGAGCTGAAAGAATATGGACATTCTACTAAGTATTTCGGCTTCACCTTAACACAATGATAGTGTAATGTTAAAATAATTTTGACGTAATTATTGAAAACGATACAGTTTGAATTAGCATGAAGATACCAAGGTCATTAAAGAATACTCTTGGTAAAATGTCAATGTAAAACTTAATTCACTAAGAAAATTTTATAGTCACCAGCTATTTAGTATAATTTTATTTTAATACTGGCGTTCTCACTCATAAGTGAACCTTACATTCATGGGTTTAATTGGCAGAATTTTATTTTCTAGGCTACAAAAGCACAACTTGGTTATCATCCTATTTAACAAGTATCAATGTAAATATCCTTAGTTGATTAATTTGGAAACAGGACAAAAGGCAATTCGTCATTATATATAAGGACCATTATAAAATTTGAAGAAATGTTCATTTTCCATGAAAATAATAATTATTTAAACAGGATATAATAAACAACTCAGTCGTTAGTGAAGTACTTTTTTTAACCATAGAAACCAATCTATACACAACGGATATAAATAACTATTGTGATACTTTTGTTATGTAAATTGAAGCAGAGAGAATAGAATAATTAAAGAATGAATCAATTTTATATTGTATGACACTGACATCAAATAAAGGTACATCAATACAATACCGTTTTGATATTAACTCTGTATTAGTTGAATATATCTTAGCAACTTTTAACGTGTTCTTATAGCTGTGTATGTTAAAACTTATTTTTCATTGGAATAAACGTGATAAATATGTTAAGTGATGATGGATGGATCAATTATATGTTGATTTAAATGGACAAATACACAACCAATATTTAATGCGTACGGGTCAGTGACACTACATAACTGAACAAATAATAGTAGATATAGTAAGGTTTTAATTCCTGATCAATTTGTAGAAATTCACAGAAATCCATATACATAAAAATACTGAGATCAGACTTAAAAAATCTGCAAACTAATAGGTTTTCAGATGATAGCTCTTTGTTTACATTTATGAAGTTTGAAAAATAATTATTGCTAAAATTACATAGAACTGTGATTTGTGAAGCCTACAAATGGTTTTTTAAAGGCTCAATTTAAATTGGAAACTTAATTAACAAGGCTGCTTACTCTCCCCCTTTCTCTTCTGATGGTTGACTGGATTATGAAGACCTCCACATCACAAGGAAAGCACGGAATACAATAGACAACTTGAATTGTTTGTTTGAACACATAAATACTGGTACAAGGGGGCACCAGATACATATGAGCCACACAAATCTCATTTGATACGTGTGAGGGCTGTGATACTGCCAGGGTGTCCGAACTGAAGTAGACGGTTCTCTTAGGGGGCCACACCCGGAGCCTTCGACCTGAAAGTCTGACCCACAAGGCAGTGGAGCATCGTAGGGAGATGCAGTCCCATGGTAGCCGGTGACTAACGATTGGTTTATACGCCATTTGTTCCCTCAGGGTACTGGAGCCCATGTGACCCATTGGTTTGAAGTCAGGGTTTCTCAACCCCCTTAGGTGGACTCTCCGTGTCAACCAACCCGGTTAAAGCATCGGACATTCGCTTTTCGTCCTCTAAATTTCGTAAACAACACCCCTACCACGAGAAGGCAGTGAGTAGGGCTCGCCTGGCAGAGGCTATATACTCGTCGCCATGTCAGAGCATTTCGAGGGGGAGAGCGGACTCTCCTCACTCTCGGCCGTACCAGTGCCTTTGGGGCAGACAGCTTGAATGAAGCTAGACGATTTAGACTTCACAAATAACCTAGTTCTTTCATTCTATACACACCAACAAATGAAGGTGAAGACAAACAGTGTAGCTACGACCTCTGCATCAGTAGGCCACAACATACACAAGGGAAAAAGCAAGACCCTCAAATATAACACAGATGACATTAATTCAATCACACTTGATGGAGAAACTCTAGAAAAAGTGAAAACTTCCACGTACCTGGACAGCATCATCAATGAACAAGGAGAATCTGATACAGGCATAAAGGCAAGGATTGGCAAAGCAGGGGAATCATCCCTACAATTGACGAACATATGGAACTCAAAACAATTATCAAACAATATCAAAGTCAAAACATTCGATACGAACTTCAAGATAGTTTTACTGTATGAAGCTAAAAAGTGGAGAACTACCACAACCATCATCAAGAGAGTACAAGTATTTATAAACAGTTATCTACACAAGATACTCAATGTCCGTTGTTGACCTGATACCACCAGTAACAGCCTACTGTGGGAGAGAACAAGCCAGTTTCCAGCTGAGGAGAAAATTAGGAAAAGACGTCGGAGGTGGATAGAACATACATTACGGAAATCACCAAACTGAGTCACGCAGAAAGCCCTAACTTGGAATTCTCAAGGTAAAAGGAAAAGAAGACCAAGGAACACATTGCGTCAGGAATTGGAAGCAGACATGAGAAGAATAAATAGTAACTGGAAAGATCTGCCTAGGAAAGAGTTCGATGGAAAATGCTGATGAATGGCCTATGCTTCTCTACGAGGAGTATCAGGCGCAAGTAATTATGTAAGAACTAGAACATTGATTTTTTTTCTATACACTATGTTAACTTGAATACAGATTAAAATGTACCATTGTAGTACATAAATTGTCGTAGATCCCAAAGTATTATAGAAGACTTACGTAAACGAAAAGAAAAAAAACAAAAAAGTTTTCCAAATAAAGTATGTTAAAATTTTCAAGAAGTCAACCTACCTTAATTTTGTTAAGCTGCATGTTAAATCCTGATAGTCAATAAAACCATTCTTATTTTTATCAAGCAATCTTGTAATTACATCGATTTCAAACTTTGTAAATGGACACTTCAATGATAACAGAGCTGTTTAACATAATACAATTTAAAATATAATAAAACACGAACAAACCAGCTTTAAAATCATCATATGTAAAGTTTAAATCTGAGTAGTGGGCTGTTAAATGAAGAAGATTTTTTAATTGCTCCGCATGACATTTTATCCACAAATTTGAACGCTTTAAAAAGTCAATGTACTTTTCCTCATCTGCACAAAATTTGTCTATTTTAGCTTCTAACACTGTCTTTCAATGCTATTTAATACATAAAGTACTAACAAACCTTCTTTTTCCTAGAAGTCTTCAATCTTTTGCCACGCTTTTTCCCCGATTTAACTTTTTTCTTCCTAGGCATTTGTCTTATTTGAGAATTGTAATCTGAAAACTTTTAGGTGATTCTCATAGATCAAAATTAATGGAAATTATTGATCATAAAAGCAGTAGATTGTCTAAAATGATGGAAAAAAATAGGAAATTTTATAAATCATTTTATAAATCGTTGAAGCCTACTTAGGATAACTTAGAAGGATGACCAGATAGTACTTCAATGATTTTTTGACACATTAAAATTGTAATAATAACTTAAAGGCTAGTCAGTTGAAATGAACGATCAATGTTTTTAGCTTTTTTTCTCAAAATGGTCTATGAATTTAATTCTAATTGTATAATGCTAAAGTCATACATTCGGTCGAGAGAAGAAATAGGGAAACATTTTCTACATAAAATACTGTAGGAATTAAAATAATCACTTCTCATCAAGATGAAGGAACGGGAAGAATGGTACACTCGAAGCATATATAGATTGTCGATGAATTTGACGGTAAACGTTTCACAGTTAAATCGGCTAATCAACCAATACCGACCTAAGGTAATTGAAACTAATATAAGTTCATATATGAAGGTCATTTAATATCAAGAGATTTTTATACGAGTAGCCTGGGGACATTCACTAAAAAATTGAATTTTCATTATTTACAACATCGATAAAAAAAAATCCTGTAGAGTAAACCATTATAATTTTCAGGCCATCAACCATCATCTAAGTACAACTGACATCATCTAGTAAACAATTTAACCATACTTTGCAATATAATATGGTAAATCTTACAAATGAATAGTTTTGCAATATAATATCTAGAGATGATATGATCGTAATTAATATTATGTACCGAAAGCAATAAATTTGGCAAAAAATATATTTTGAACATTGTAATTTTTATAAACAAACTCGTGAGCTAAACTCGTTAATTTCAAGTCAATGAAAATTTGACAGTCTGAGACACTCAAAACGTTGTAAAATAAATATGCTTGTGCTCAGTTGCGTTAAAACATTTTCACTGAACAGTAAATTGTGCCGAAACTTGTTTTCAGCATAATATACACAACATTTGAGAGCTGACAAATTGTATGGTGGTATTCAAATTAGAACAGATACTTAATAGATGAAGTTTTTGAAATATATGAAATTGTAAAACCTTTTGTGATCTGTAATACCACAAAGTAGGTATACATTGGCATTAAAGTTGATAATCAGAGTTATATTTTTCAGTTGCCATAAAGATATGAATTCATAATATTAGGGATTTTTCAAGAACTAAAATGCAGATAATTCTTGAGTGCTGGGGTATGGAAGTGTTCAGAACATTGGTATGTTTAACTGGCCGATATACGAGTAGAGGGGAAAAGGACTAGAGATGGTTAGATAAAGATATTGTTTTAGTCCCTGAAATTCTTGTTTTTGACCTGAAGCTAAAACAGACTGAAAATACTACGAAATTTGTTTCAATGAAGGCGAGTTGTTTAATTTATTCTCTAACAAATGTGGGGTTTTATTATTATCTCTTACTATCAATTTCCTGAGTTTGTTCCCTTAAAACTATATCTTCTGTTTTTAAATTCTCAATGTCACTACTAGTATAAACTTAGCTCTTATCTCGTTGAATTTGTCCCATTGCGGTCCCTAAAAGTGTATGTATGCCTCGCCAACATAGATATAGCACCCAGTTTGAACAAGTGCTTCCTGAACAAAACCCCGTCAACAATTGTCCATCTGCAATCAGAATAAATGGTTAAGTAAGATCTTCGAAAGATAAGTACATACGCCCCTACTGTTTGCAGACCAGATGCAGTAGATGAGTTTTATCCAGGGCTTTCTGACTTCCATCAAAACGCTCAGATGCAGTAATCGTTGGTAGTAATTTTAATGCTTTAGTAAGTAGACTAAGTTGGTCTTAAAGAAACTTAGACAAGTCTTTCAGTGCTCCAGTTCATGGAACTGCATGTCTAAAAATATGCTCAGACAACACTTTATTCCTAGGAAATTATGTCGTTAAGCATAAGAAAATATATTAATTAACTTAGTGACTAACAATATGATTACAAATATGGAAACGGACAGGCCGTATGGCTATTATTTGTCACTGAAGAAGTAAAATTGGAGATTGCTGACTCTCTTGGAGCACGTATATAGACTATAATCAAGCTTTGCCGAAAGCAAGTACCTCATTGATTTTCACAGGAGGCGGAAGCGTCACAAAAAATTTCTCAGAGCTCAACTAAATGATGAAATGTCAAAGAGTATGTTTCAGAAACAACTAGAGGACCACGTAGTCAGTTACTAAGGAGACGTTCAGTTTGATGTAGCCTAGTATAATACACGAACTTATGTGAGATCGGTGTCAACTTTCGGCGGATTAAATGGATTTTAGGGGTTTGTCGACGACCTGAGAGGTCGGGTTATGTTTACCGCTTGAAACCGATCGAGCCTTGCGATTGCGGCTTCTAGGTGTTTCCTGTTGGATCCCATCTGGGAGACGGGGAACAGAAGACCCTACTTTTCTTGAGCTTTTGTTTAAGGCAGGCCCCTTTGGAGACTGCTTTTCCTTCTTTGACGGGCGTGAGTCATCTATCATCGAACTAACCTTAGTTCCCTTCACGTTGGTTTGCGTGTCGACAGATCGAGTGCTGTTTGACGCGTTCCGACTACGCTTGCTAAAACACTTCTTTGCATCAACAACCAGTGAGATGGCCTCGGTTAACAAGCTGTTTGCATCCGAGCAGCACTGTTGACAAAGCCATACACAACCCTTCTTACTGAACCGTTTGAAAGCAGAAGGCGTTAAGTTCGTGCAAACTTCGTGGTACCAGCCTTTGCACTCGTCGCACTGCATGCCGCTTTCAACAGGATAACGACAACCCGGTCGTTGGCAACTGCTTTTTTTACACTGTCCGGTCATTTAGGAGGGGTTCTTTTTCAAGATGAGATGATACTCAGAAAAAAAATCAATGACCAAAAAAGTGAAGAGCTGTAGACTGCTAGGACTAAAAGTACTAACAGATACAGTTGAAAAAGAGGTACTCGAGAGTACCAACGACAAAACTAATTGAGAGAACAGTAAAAACGATACTCTGGTCGAATACTTTAACTGATAAATTCAATTAAAGTGAAAACAGTAGTCCTGATACGTAATAAACGATCAAAACAAAGAAATTTACTCAGCGAGGAAAAATACCACTGTCCTTTTTAAATTAGTGGACTTCAATGACATTAAGTGAATTAATATGTGTTTGTACACCTGCCCGATCACGCTTACAGCAAAATAAAAGCTAAAGACAGCTTGAAAAGATCCAGACGAAATCTTGTACATTAGTCGCAAGTAGTAGGAATAGATCTTTACCTTACAGTTTCACAGAGATGACATGGTTTTATGCTGTTTCGAGGAACAATCTAGTAGATTTACTTACTGATTTAGAATATGCAGACAGAACGGTTGTTTTTAAAGACCCTGAAATTATACGGAGTATTATGAACACCTTGTGCAACAGTGGATTCATGGGTGGGATGTGTTTCTGTGAGTTCACTCTACTGTTCTCTATCCTATGGCCGTGAAACATAACCTTCTAAAGTAAATGTTATATCAGTGATACTACTATTGTTTTGACCACTTTACTACGCTTCTTGATAAATTCATTTAGTTGACCAAATTTGGAATGAGAACTTGGGCTAATGAACGTTTGTCATACCCTACATTGATAATGACTTCTTAAAATGGGATATCGAAATTGGCACGAAAAGCTGTGAATCTGTGACCCTAGACAACAAGATAATTAATGCCTCAAAACTTCCTTTACATATAGAATATAAATTACTTATAATATATGGCCTAAAAACTACAAAGTTTCAAACATGCCGTTTTCTGTCAAACGAACTTCAAAGACTACCCAGCTCTTGTTCCACAGCGTGTTGTCTGCCAAGTATACTAGACATAAGTTCATGTTAAGCAGTCTTTTGTGTACACTGACTTCATGCGTAATATAAAAATTCAAATAACAATAATTCAATTAAAAGACATAGAAATTCGTGACAAAACCTTAATAATCGTCGCTTTTTTTAAATGACATGAAAAGCCAGATGCTAATAACCATATCTGTTGATGAATTTTAACAAAATTGAAGCCATTTGTTCGTACGGAAAAGTTAGATTAACTGTTTAAGTTTTCGTATAAGCGGTAACGTGTGACTTAACGCGTTCAGTTCTGTGAACATCTGTGGTATTTGTGAGAACTAATGAGTGCCCGCTGATTACGAATTCCAAACATAACACGTTCATTTATACTCATCCTGTTCTATCTGCCTCAAACTGCACTATTTAGGGAATTCCTAGTTAGTGCATTATTCGGAATACTTCTAATTATCATACTGGCGTTTCTAAGTAGTCAAGTCTTTGACAGTGAGATATTAATCCAATTGGGGACGTCTTCGAACACTACATAGAGTGATCCGAAATCTGTTGCATGACTAGAAAAGATAATAACGATGATAAGTTGGCGACCAATTTGAAAGTTAACTTTGTGGTTGGTTGGATAAATATTCTGGATTTTCGAAGAATTTTCACTCACAAACCTAAAAGTTTGTCCCAAAAAACTAATAAAGCATGTTTTAACTATGAGGCACTGAATGAGATTGATTTTCAGTCGGTGAAAATGTCTAATACTTCGCTTAGTCGTTGTGATAAACCACATTCTCATTGTCGCTCGTGCTCGTGATTGTTTAAAAATTGTTCCCACTCTCTTAGAAATATGAAAAATGACTGAACGAAGAATTCCAAAGCAGGTTACAGAGACGAGCACCAGTCTGTCAAACCCTAATCATGTGGTAGATTTCACCTACCTAATTTATATGTCTTTCGTCATCCCAAATGCTTAAAGTGTAGTAGAATGGGACACCTCCAGTCAGTTTGTAAGACTGCTGTTCTTTTTTCCTCAAATCGTACTAAACTTTGTAATTCGGATCCTATAAATTTTTGTGATATTAATAGTGATATGCTATTCTTTTTTACAACTTCCAGTATGTCAC